CTTAATCAAATCATGGGTTTGTTATCATTTTCGTTAAATACAACCACAGCGGCTTCGCGCGCCCGTGTCAAAGTCGTTCGAACGCTTGCGCGCGTGCCGCCGCGAAAATTCTTTGCAACAGAAGGAACGACGTGCACGCGGGCGCGTCGTCGCGCGCGCATGCCGATATCGGTCAAATACTTTTGGTTGTGTAGCGACTTCAAAACCGAATGTCCAAACTACATATAACAACCACATGGTTTCGCAACAACAATTTTCAAAAAACGTACGCTCGCGCTCTTGCGAATTCTTGAGGACGCTGTCGTTTTTTCCCAGCATTGTCATCGTGGAATTCTAAGAAACGGCCTTCTGGCGCCGTATGCCGAAATCATTCGCGCGCCCTTGCCCGCGTGCTGGGGGTGCACGATCCGTGTGAAATAATACCATGCGGGCCACTCGCTCGTCGGCCGCGCGCGCATGTCGAACTCTTTCCAAAACCTTCATCGCCGACGCGAGCACGCCGTCATCGTCGTCGGCGTGATCAGCATTGGCGCCCGCACTGACCTCGCCGTCGTTATTGTCATCATCGTCACCAATATCGCTACTGTCATCATCGGGTCTAACGTTGGCGACGTTGCCATGGTGCTGCGCCCGCCCAAGTCGCCGACTCGCACGGAAGTGCCCGCTGGGATGCGCCCATCGGTCAGCGCCACCGCGTTGGTCTTCCACACCAGCTTGCGGGTGGGTGGGTGGGATGTTTGCAAACAAACATGGGATATCAACTCGTTTGTAAAAAAAACCAGGTGCACCGCTTAGTTTGCTTCACAGATACAGCACACCATCCGCTGCGTTCCATATATCGCACCACGCATATCCCACCACATATATTGCACAACGACTATTCGGCAACATCTATTGCTCTTTGTCCCTTTTTTTCCCCCCTCTCTCTCTCTCCGTCTCTCTCTCTCCCTCTCCCTCTATATATATATATATATATATATATATATATGCATGTAATATATATATATACATATATATATGTATATATATATATGTATACACGTACATATACATATAACTACAAGGAAGAGCGCGCTGGTGGCGCTCTTCTCATTGAAAGGGAAGCCCAAACTTCAAGCTACCCCGTTTGCCTTGGAAGAGGAGGGGCTGTCGAAGCTACCTCGCCCCTCCCTCTCTTTTGTGGGCACTTTTTGCTTGGTGTGGCCTTAAGTCAAGGGGGGGGGGGCTTGGAAACTACTCCCTTCTCTCCCCATTTCCAGGACCAATGGTTAGCACTTTGTTTCCCCTTCAAGAGGGGGGGGCGCTTGGGAAGTTACCCGCCCCCTCGCTTTCGCAGTTGAGATTGGTTTGCCACGGGGTGGGGGCTTGAAAGCTACACCATTTTTTTTTTGGGGGTGCATCAGGCCAGCCCAGAATTACCTTCCAAAGGGGGGACGGGGCTTCGGAAACTCCCCTCCCCTCTTTTCGCAGTTGAAATTGCATTTCCAAAAATGGGGGGTTTCAAGCCCCCCCCCCGTTTCCTCTTGTTTCGGGGTCCACAGTGCGCTCGGGTTTCCCTTTCAAAGGGGGGGGCTTCGGAAGCTACCCGCCCCGCCTTTTTCGCAGCTGAAATCGGCGATCCGTTGGTTTCGGGTGCCTCTTTGGTTTTCGGCGCGTTCTTGTTTTTTGGCGCTGTTGGTTTTCGGCGCCGCCATGGTTTTCGACGCTCGTTGGGTCATCGGCGTATCTTTGTGTTTTCGGCGCTTCCTCGTCGGTTTCCGGCGCCATTTGTAGTGTTCGTCGGCTTTTTGGTATTCGGCGTCCGGTTGGCTTTCGGCGCCGGTTGGGTTTCGTTGCTCCTCTGCTTCTAGCGTTTTTTTGGTGTTCGGCGTCCGGTTGGTTGGCTCCCTGTTTGTTGTCGTCGTCCTTTTGGGTTTTGGTGGTTCTATGGGTTGCGGGGTCCTTTTGGTTTTCGGTTTTCTTTGATATTCGGAGCTCTTTGTGTTTTTGGCGCTCTGTTCGTATTCGGCGCCTTTTAGGATTTTGCCGCCTCCTCGGTGTTCGGATGTTTTTCTGCTGCTGTGCGCTGTTTGGGATTTTGGCGCGTCTTTGGTTTTCGTCGCCCTTTGGTTGTCGGCGGTCTTTTGGTTTTCGGAGCCTTCCTTCTGCCATAGGGGGGGCAGCGCTTTCCAAGCCGTTCTCTTTTCTTCGACGAAGAGCGGGGAAGGCGGGGGGGAGCTTCCAGCAGGGATCGTCTAAGGGATAGGGGCCTCCATGTGGTTTTCGGGGCCGCCCCAGTATACGGCGCATCTTTGATTTTCGGCGTCGCTCTGGTTTTCGGCAATCTGTGGGTTCTTGGGGCATCGTTGGTTTTCGGGATCCTTTTGGTTTTAGGTGCTCTTCTGGTTTTCGTTTTGTGCTTTCGGTTTCTCGTTCTCGGCGTCCTAAGGTTTTGTTGCGCTCTGTCGGTGTTCGGCGAATCGAAGGTTTTCGGCGTCTCATATGTTTTCGGTGCCCTATTGGTTTTCGGAACTCTTGATTTTCGGTGCTCCTTCTGGTTTCCGGCGCGTTTGTAGTGTTCTTCGCCGTCCTGGCTTGTTCGGGTTTTCGGTAACGCTTTTAGTTGTGGCGCTCTTTGTGTTTGCGGTGCTCCTTTGGTTTTCGACGCCCTGCTATTGTCGGGCCATATTTTGTTTTTGGCATTCTTTGGTTTGCGCCGCCGCTGTGGTTGTCGGCGCTCTTTTGGGTTTCAGCGCGTGTTGGTTCTTTGGTTTTCTGCGCTCCTTTGGGTTTCGGCGCCTTTTTTGTTTTCTGCACGTCTTTGGCTTTCGGTCTTTTTGGGTTCTCGGCGGCATTTGGGTTCTCGGTATGTTTGTGGTTTACGGCGCTCCCTTGGGTTTTGCCGCTCGTTTGGTTTTCGGCGCGCCATGGTCTGTTTTTCGCATCCTTTGGGTGTGGCGGCCTGTTGGTTGGCGGTGCCCTTCGGTTTCTGGCACGCCTTCGGTCTTCGGTGCTTTCTTAGTTTTCGGCGCCCTTCTGGTTTCTGGCGCTCGTTTCATTGTTGGTGTTCTTTTCGGTGGCGCTTCTTTAGTTTTCCGTGATCCTTTGGGTTCCCGCGCTCATTCGTATTATTTCCGCGCTCTTTGATTTGTCACGTTTCTGTTTTCTCGGGGCAGCGTTGGGTTTCGCAGTTCTTTCGGTAGTCGGCGCCTGTTGGGGGGGAGGGGGGAGCCTCGCTTCAAGGAGCAGAAGAAAAAAAGAGGGGGGGGTTTCGGCAGGGGAGGTCCAGGGGGAGGGGGTTGTTACCCCCCCCCCTTAGGAAAGGGCGGGGGGGGAGGGGTATCTTCCGTAGCGCGAGAGAAGGGGGGGGTAGCTTCCGAGGGGCGGAACAAGAAGAAGTGTGGGGGGGGGGCCTTCTGGCAGGGGAGGTTCAAGGGGGGGTGGGGTGGCTAAGCCCCCCCTTCTTTGGGAAAAGAAAGGGGGAGTAGCTTCTGGAGCGCAAAAGGGGGGGGTAGCTTCCGAGGTGCGGGGAAAAAGGAGTGGGAGGTGGCTTCCGATAGGGGAGGTTCAGGGGGGGGGCTAGCTAAGCCCCCCCCCCTTTGGAAAGGGAGGAAAGGGAGGGTAGCTCCCCGAGCGCGAAAGGAACGGAGGGGAGGGGGGGGCAGCTTCCGAGGGGCGAGAAAAAAGGAGGAGGGGGGGGCAGGGGCTACTGGCAGGGCAGGTCCGGGTTTAGATCGGGCATGTTCTCCTACAGGGGGATTTTGGACGGAAAGTATAAAATACCCCAAAACTATTCCAAAGTGGTTAACAATACTAGAACAATCGCCTCCCGATTATTTTTTGACTATCTTTGAATATTCCTCCTGTAGAGGGACAGGCCCGACTCCCCCCTGGGAGAGCGCCACGAGCGCGCTCTCTCTCGCATCAGATGTGTTGAACCACTCAGTTAGCACCACACAACTAATACAATATTTCTTGCTAGAAACACACTGTTCAGGGTCCACGCTGGCTGTATCATGGCACCAGTGAGTAACAACAGAAGAAGGCACATTAGAAAACGAGGGGCTGATGAGGAAGAGGAGTACGTGTGTGCGTGTGCTGAGTTCGAGTAGGAGGACGTTGAAGTAGTGGCGATTCGGGATCAAAGTGCCTAAATCCAAGTACAGTCGAGAGCGTCTGGAAAACATTCGAACACCTTCGGCACAACCCCAAAACGCTGAACGATTGCGAAACCTCCAAAATCAGAAGTCGACCAACAGCGTAATACATACCGCTGGGAACCTCGGAACATTTTCGATCATATCCGAATAGGCGAGAAGCACAAAGGAACATTTTTGAATCCGTAAGAGAGCATCGAGAAACCGAGGAAGTAGTGAACATGCAGAAACCGCTGAAACCCGTCGTCGTCGCTGCCGCCGCCGTCGCCGTCCGTGAGATCCGATACTTTGCGGCGAAATAGCCACATCGCGAAAAAGCACGACTGGCTCACCAGACCCAATCTCTCCGGGGCATTTTCCAAGGCGGCTCGAGCTGTGCTGGTCCCAGGGCTTGAAACCGGGCGACAACGCTCGGTAAAGCTCTAGGCCTCCTAGACGGGGTCGGAGCAGATGGGGTCGGAGGATCGCTCCGCATCGCCGATGCATCGCCGATGCGGCTCGATGCGGAGCCCGATCTGCTTCACGCCGACGTCGCCGATGCGTTGCCCACGTCGACGATGCATCGCTGGTGCATCGCCGATGCATCGGCGATGCGTCGCCGATGCATCGGCGATGCGGCGCGATCCTCCAACCCCATCTACTCTGACCCCATCTAGGAGGTCTCTGAAAGCCTGGATCTCAGGGGCCGCCGCCGCCGCCGCCGCCGCCGTCGGGATCGTCGTCGTCGTCGTCTTCGTCGTCGTCTTCGTCGTCGTCTTCGTCGTCGTCTTCGTCGTCGTCTTTGTCGTCGTCGTCGTCGTCGTCGCCGTCGTCGCCGTCAGGCTTTGCCGTCGTCGCCGTCGCCGCCGCCCTCCGCAGCGGCAGGCCCTCGGCGGCGGCTCCGACAGTGCGGAGGCGTGGCTGCGGCTCCACGAGGCGTCCCCTCCTCGCCCGGCCTCTTGGGAGATCGGCGCCGACGCCGCCGGCGTGGTGCACGCTGGTAGTTCAAAGTACTTATTTTGTTGGATTCCCAGGCCCCAATCTACTTGAGGCGCCTTCCTACGTGAAGGGCCGAGCGGCTTCACAGCTTCCCTCCTCTTCAGGGGGCGGGCGGAAGCCCAATCTACTCCCAACGCCTTCCTACTTCATGTTTCTACCCACTTTTTCCGACCGACGGGTAGTGGGGTTCTAGGTTTTTGGACGTTTTCGGCGGTTCTCGGTCGCTTTCCGGCCTCGGGGTGTCTTCTGGCGGTTGCGCCTCGCCGAGAGACACATGGCTCGAGTTAAACAGTGTTTTCCGTTTTCGTTTTGTTTTCGTCATCCCTGGTTCTGTCTTCGTTCCGCATATGCTGCAAAACGAAGTCAAAACGAAAACGGTCCACGAAATTGCCAAAACACCGTTTAGCTCGAGCCCTGCCTTGACGCGTCGATTAGCGAACTGGCCGTTTTCGGTTCGCGAGAGGGCGTCGCGGCCGTCATTTTTGCGGGTCCAGGTCCGTCGGTTTCGGTCCCAGGCCGTTTTCACTAAAGGGCGGTTTACTAAAGGGAGGTTTGTCCACCGCCGAGTGGTGGTAGGGGCTGGAAACGCCTCGGTTTACCTACCACCCCTCGTGTCGGGTGGAGAAGACTGTGCCAGCGATAGTATCGGTGTCCTGCAGCGGGTAAACATCATCTTGAGCCGAAGTGGCTTGAGCCAAAACGGTTGCGGGAGGCGAAGGAGGAGCAGGAGGAGGAGGAGGCATGACCTGAGGCAGCAGGCAACCTGAGGAGGATCATGGGGAGGCGGACTCTGGACGTGGTGGCGACCCCGGCGCTGGCTTTCAAGGTTGAACGCCGCTAGTGTCCAGAAATCGGCCGACATCAAGGCATCCGCGCGATCGGAAGTGTGCGATCATGCAAGGCTGAGCGGTTCACGCGGTATCAGCAACCAGCGCACAAGTCGCCACGACACGCAGCTGCCGTAGCAGTATTCCTGGCCGCCAGGGTAAGGCTTGCTTGACTGCTTATGTTGGTTGGCCCGCCCGGTCCGAGAGGCGTCAGGGACCACCACACAGGACGTGCGAGTCAGGGGAAGGAGGAGGAGGAGGAGGAGGAGGAGGAGGAGGAGGAGGAGGAGGAGGAGGAGGAGGAGGCGCGGGCCCGAAGTCAGAGGGGAGCAGGCAGCGGGAGGACGAGCATCAGAGGGGGATGGACCCTTCCTCGGATACCCGGCCATACTAAGTTGGCTTGGGCTGGTGGCTGGGGCCCGCAGACAGCGGGGTGCCCGATGTCTCCACAGGGCGACGAGGTGGAGGGAGGGTGATTGCCGCGGCGACGGTGACCACGATGGCCACAGCCGCGGCCACGGCCACGGCGGCCACGGACACGGCGGCCACGGCCACGGCCCTGGCAGCGGCGACGGCCCTGGCGGCGACGCAGGTGGCGGCACCCACGGCGACGGCGACGGCCACGGACGGCCACTGCGTCTCGACGGCCGCGGCCGCCCCGTCCCCCCGCCGCCCGAGCTGCTGGCCCAGCTCGCCGGCCCCGAGGGCGGCGGCCAGGGCGGCGGCGCTGCGCACGCCCCGCTGGGCGGGCCGGCCGCTGGGATCGATTGGGCCCCCGCCGCGGCCGCCTGTACGCGCGTGGAGGGACCTCCGCCGCCGTCGTCGCCTTCGGGCGCGGACCAGGCGGCGGCCCGCCGCCGCCGCCGTCACCGCCGCCTTCGCCGTCGCCGCCGCCTCCGCCGCCGCCGCCGCCGTCGCCGCCGTCGTTGTCCTCCGTCGTCGTCGTCGTCGTTGTCGTCGTCGCAGTCGTGTCCTCCGTCGTCGGGGCCGCCCCGACCTTCTGATGAGGCGACGTGCGGCCTGGACCACTTGGCGACTCGAGGGAGGGCCGAGTCCTTGCTGCTGTTCTAAAGCAGACGCTGTGCTTTGAGCCTCTCTGGGCCTCCAGGGGCGCCCTGGCAGCCACGGCTGGGCCCGCCTCGCGGCTCTGGCCAGAACGCGCCCCAGAGCAGGTGCGGGGGGGGGTCAGGGCGGAGGGGGACCCAGACCTCGGGAGACCCAACGAGATCGTGCCGGAGGGTTCCTACAACTCTCGGCATTCGAGGGTTCCTACAGCTCTCGGCATTCGAGGGACTGTCAGAAGACGACTCGGAATGAAAGAAGGGTTTCCCAGCCGGGTCGGACGAAAGGGGGGATTCGGGGGAGGGGTACAACATTTGCTGCGTGCAGCGGGCTTTCGGCCCCGCCGCCTGGCGTTCTCCTGGAAGCAGTGGCGCCTCCAGCGCCGGAAGGCGCCGCGAGAGTCAGCTACGTGAGCTGCTTCAATAACCCCTGCTTTGCTGTCCCCCCTTTTCGTCCGACCCGGCGGGTCCCAGAGAGGGGGTGTCGATCGGGGGCGGCCAACGAGGGGGTGATGACCAGGGACCAGGGGGGGGGGATGTCATGGCGGGGCCCACGACACCTCCCCTGAAGTCGTGGCGCTTCTTCTCATTTCCAGACGCTGCCAGCCTCCCCCCCCTCGGGCCGAGCGCATGCCGCCGGCCACAATTTCCCCCCTCCCCCCCCTACCCTCCTCTTGGACGCCCCCCTCGTGGACGCCCCCCCTCTTGGACGCCCCCCTCTTGGACGCCCTCCCTCCCTTGGACGCTCCCCTCTTTCAGGAGAGGAAAAAACACACAGACACAATTAATCCTCGATTTTCCAGAAAATATGGGAAAATATGGGAAGTGGGGGGGAAGACAGAAACCCAGAAAATATCGGAAAATATGGGGATTTTTTTTATTTGTGTGTATTTATTTGTGTGTCCTGGAGCCCCTTCACTCTTGGACGCCCCCGAGTCGAGAGCTCAGGTGGCCAGCGGCTCGAAAGGGCGCCGAGCCGTCGGGAGAGCCTCGGGCGCGCCAGCGTCGGCGTTTTCGCCCCCCTCTCCGCTGCGGTTCGCCTCCCGGGGCGGGAGCCCTCGCCGCCACGGCGGCGTCCCGCACCCCCCCGAAGGCCTGCTCCCGGAGATCGGGCGACGAAATCTATACATATCCACTGCTCCCTGGCCAGGCCCATCCTGAACCCAGGAGTTGTGCATACGCCCTCCTGGCCACGCCAGGAGGGCGCAGCGTATAAACAGCTGCTGGGTTCAGGATGGGCCTCGCCAGGGAGCAGTGGATATGTATTGATTTCGTCGCCCCAGGAGAGGCCCCGGGGTCGAGGAGGGCATGTATCGGGGGTGGGCAGAACCCCCAACAGTGACACGTCGATTAGTGAATTGTCCGTTTTCGGTCCTCGGCAGGGCGCCGTGGCCGTCATTTTCCAGGCCTGCGCCCGCCAGGTTGGGGCCTCAGGTCGTTTTCACTAGACCACGTTTTACCAAAGGGGGGTCTGTCCATCCCCGAATTTCTGCATAAGCACCGCGCGGAGGACCGCTCTTCTCAGACCTCCGAAGGCGGTGGATACGTATGGATACGGATATGGATATCGATACGGAGATGGATACACACATATATATATATATATATGTATGTATGTTATTATTTATATATATATATGTACACATAAGTATGGATGGGGGTCCTGGGGGCACCGGAGTGCACCGATTTCTCTTCCGGTCGTTTCGGGCCCGTCGGGGGTGCCAGAACGCGTCGAAGGAGGGGAAGGGGGGCGACGAGAGGTCCCGAGAGACGTCCAAGAGGGCGCCAAGACGGCCCAAGAGCGCTCCAAGAGAGCCCAAGACCGCACAAGAGCGTTTGAAAATTGGTCTAACATGGCTTGAGGACAGCCCAAGAGGGCTTCGAGAAGGCCAATATGTCCTCAAAAGGACTCCCACGAGGCACTCAGGAGGCGAGACAACGTAGTTATTGTTCGACGGTTTTTGCAGGTTTGTCGTGTTCTTGCTGTTTGGTGCTTCCGACGGTCCAAGACAGCCCATGAGGTCCCGAAAATCAGCTCAAGACGACTCAAGAGGCACCCAAAGAGGGCGCCACCACGGCGCAAGAGAGTCCCAAGACGGCCCACGAGTGCTCCAAGACGGCCCAAGAGGCGCCGAAGATCGCCCAAGAGGGCCCCAAGACGGCCCCAAGAGGGGCCCAATGGGGGGAACACGAACCGTCAATTCGAGTCTTCCGCCCCAAGAGGCGCCCAGGAGGCCCCAAGAGGCCCCCAACAGAGCCCAAGAGTCCTCCTACAACCCTCCGCGAAACTTAACGCAAGTTTAGTCGACCCCCCTCGCCCCCAATTTCAACGTGCAGTTGCGCGCGCGGCGCGGTGCGCGGACGCCGTCGGGAAATTTGAAGTCACGTGCTTCGGCGTCAACATTGAAATTAGGAGGTCTGGGGGCGCCAGCGCAGCGCGGGACAATTTGCGTTAAGTTACGTCGAGAGATGTGGAGGTCCCCTAGAGGCCCCACGAGGCTTCCAAGAGGTCCAGAAAGACGCCCCAAGGACACCCCAAACGGCCCCCAAGAGGCCTCCCACGGATTCCAAACGAACTTCCAAGAGGCTTCTAACCCATAATCCAGACACTCTGGCGGGATGGACCGAAGGCCACTAGAAGGTCCAAGACGGTCTTTAGACGGCCCAAGAAGCCCCCAAGATACCCAAGAGGCTCGGGAAGTGGAAAAGGCGGAAACGCCAATATTGTTCAAAACCATTCTAAAAAATGTTGTTTGGCCTTTTCGAGCTATCGTGTGCAATCCAATACCCACAGCGTTTCCCAGCACACCGTGAACGATTGTTTTTGAAAACCGATCCCTCCCGTCGGCATCACCCAGAAACCTTCTTATGCGATGTGTGCGTTGGCCTTCCACGGGCGAAGCGCGCGCGGGCGCACAGACATCCTGCAGCTAATATTGTTCACGGGCGCGTTCTGGCTTCACCGCTGCAGCGTATGCTCGGTCAGGACGTGCGCATCGTACCAGTGCGTCCTTCTGCGTCCCGTCCTCTCCCTCCCGCTTCGCCCAGCTCGCCGGCCGCGAGGCCCGCGTGCAGAAGCCCAGAAGCCGCCGCGGGTCCGTCATGAGCAGCCTCGCGGAAGTCGGCAGGGTCCTGTCCGTCGGCTTCGTCCCGCTGGCCAGCTCCCCGTCGGTGCCGCCGGCGTGCGAGACGGCGACTTGTCTCGGTGGTTGCAATTGTGATGATGGTGGTGATGGCGGTGATGATGGTGGTGATGACGATGGTCATGGTGGCGATGACGACGATTAAGATGATGCCGATGGACGCCGGTGATGATGAGGATGATGATGATGATGCTGATGATGATGAATCTGATGATGATGATGATGATGATGATGATGATGATGATGATGATGGTGATGGTGATGGTGATGGTGATGATGATGATGATTGATGATGATGCTGATGATTTTGATGGTGGTGGTGATGATGATGACGATGACGAAGATGCTGATGATGCTGATGATTTTGATGATGGTGGTGGTGGTGATGATGATGGTGATGACGATGCTGGTAGTGGTGGTGATGATGATGGTTGGTGATGATGATTATGATGATCGTGATGACGATGATGATGACGATGATGATGATGTTGCTGCTGTTGATGATGCTGACGACGGTTATGATGTTGCTGACGATGCTGATGATGATGAATCTGTTGATGCTGATGCTGATGCTGATGCTGATGATGATGCTGATGATGATTCTGCTGTTGATGCTTATGATGATGGTCATGATGATGCTGCTGATGATGATTTGCTGATGATGTTGATGATGATGCTGATGCTGATGATGATGATGACGATGATGATGATGCTGATGATGATGCTGCTGCTGATGTTGATGGTGGTTGTGGTGATGATGTTGACGATGATGCTGATGATGCTGATGATTTTGATGATGGTGGCGGTGGTGGTGATGATGATGCTCATGATGATGACGATGGTGGTAGTGGTGGTGATGATGATGGGTGTTGGTGGTGATGATGATGGGGATGATCGTGATGATGATGGTAATGCTACTGCTGATGATGATACTGATGATGATGGTGATGACGATGATGATGACGCCGACGATGCTGATGCTGCTGATAATGATGATGATGCTGATGCTGATGCTGATGCTGGTGCTGATGATGCTGATGATGATGCTGATGATGATGCTGCTGATGCTGATGATGCTGATGATGCTGCTGATGCTGATGCTGATGATAATGATGCTGATGATGTTGATGATGATGCTGCTGATGACGCTGATGATTATGATGATGACGATGATGATTACGATGATGATGATGATGATGATGAATGATGATGATGATGATGATGATGATGATGATGCTGATGTTGCTGATACTTATGATGCTGATGATGATCCTTCTGCTGATGATGATGATGCAGATGATGATGATGATGATGATGATGATGATGATGATGATGATGATGATGATGATGATGATGATGATGATGATGATGATGATGATGATGATGATGATGATGATGATGATGATGCTGTTGCTGCTACTTGTGACGGCCATGACGACGGTGGTGATGAGAGGAGGGATGCTGATGTTAGTGTTGACCGTGGTGATGGTCATGTCGACGACGGTGGTGCCATTTGATGAGAGGGATGATGGCTGGAAACTCCGCGCCTCGCCGTCAGCAATGGCCAGCCGTGGCCCCCGCGCCGCCGCCAGGTAGGCCACCGAAGGAGCAGCGCCCGCGACGCCTCCGTGGTGGAGCAGGCTCCTTTGGGCCTCTCGGGGGGGGGGGAGGGGGGGGGATCGGCTGGCAGAAGGGGGAACGGGTGAACTCGGGCGTGTCCCTCTACAGGAAGAATCTTTCAACACAGTCAAACAATAGTTTGGGGGCGATCTTTCGACTATTTTTGACCACTTGCACTATTTTTTGACCATTTCTAATTTCTCCTCCAAAGTCAGCCTGGGCGGGGACATGCCCGACCTGAGGGAAGGGCTCCGGAAGGGCTGCTCGGCCGGCCCGAGGCCCAGGGGCTGGCCCACCACGGCCCGGCCGCGGGGCGGGGCCCCGGGCAGGCCCGGGGGACGTGCCCTGGGGCTGGCCCGGAGGAGGGGCCTCGGGGTGAGCCTCGGGCAGGCTTGGGTCTGGACGCCCGCCGAAAGGGGTACGGAAAGAATGGGTACCATGCCCAACAGCAGTTCCTGTTCATTTTGAACAGGCTTTCGCTGTCCACGCCGCCGCGGCCTGTGTCCATTCGAGACCGAAGGCCGCCCGCCCAACAGCGGCCGCTGTTGGTTTGGGACAACAGTTGTTGTTGGGCATTGTACCCATTTCTTCCGTACCCATGTCGGGCGTCCAAATTGGGGGAGGGCCCTCCTGACGGTTTCCGATGAAGCAGTTGCCTGCTGCACCACGCTCCGCGCCTTTGGAGCGCGCCCTCTGTGCCCTTCGTGTCTGGGCCCTCGCCTTCGGGCGCTCTTCGTCCGGGGCATCTCCACGGGGCGCTGGGCCTCCGGCGACGGGGCCCGCATTCTCGTGGCCGTGCTTCGGCTGCAACTGCGCCTTGCAGCCCGAGGCGCGACGCGGGATGCCCTACAGTGGAGACCCATGCCAAGACACGCCCCGCTTGCCTCCAGGGTGCCCTGGGTTTCTCGAGCTTCGATGGCTTTGCTGCGGACGGCGGCGTTCCCGTTCCAAGAATCCATGGACGTCCTGGGGTTCCAGGGCTGGGTTTCTTGTGGAAGGCTTCTTATGGACTGGCCTCCACTGTAGGGGAAGGGCCTCTGGGGTGGACCCAGGCAAAAGGCCGCCTTCAGAAGCAGCAGCAGAGGGAGAGCAGCACCCGGGCATGCTGATGCTGCGTGTGCGTCGGCCCCGCTCTGGGCGACGCGCCCGCTCGGAAGTCTCATGGATGCTTGGCGGCTGGCGCAGCCTGGCCATACCGCCTGGGCAACGATAGGCTATGACATGTCTGTGTTCGTGTCGGACGTGCGCCTCCAGCACAAACACACACTCAGTACTACAGTCGGACCAAGGTATCAGATCGAGGCCGGTTCAGGGAGGGTGCCCTAACAATCTTCATGTCTTTTGGACGTTTTTGTGCATCCTGGGGAGGGTAGCCTTGGATGTTTTGTGTGTTTTGGCCGACGGAGGGTCTGATGGTCTTGAAGGATGTTCTCCTGTCCTGGGCCCGACTGTAGAATGCCCTCGTGCGTTCCTAGAGGAGTTCGGCGTTTTTCCGCCCTGGGTGGGATCCAGGGGGGCCTCGGGCACCCAGTCGGGTTGGTGTCTGGGATTCCGCCGCCGATCATCTGCCCACGTCCACCGCTTCGGAGTCGTACCTTGTCGTGCCCTGCGAAGCTGGGGAGTGGTGGATGTGGATACTTGCTTTCGGATGCAACTCTCGGGAGATCCAATTCTGACTTCGCCCTTGTTCGAAGTCCGTCTCAATCCCGCTGAATCCCGTTCAATCTGGCTCAATCCCGCTTGATCCGCGGCCTCATCCGGCGTAGCAGTCCCTCAATGGGGCTAAATTCTAGACGCTTCGCGTATCCCCACCAGCCCGTCCAGAAACGATATCCAGGCTAGTTGAGGTGATCAGGGAAGTGCGGGAGCAAAGAGGGGGACGGCCGAACCGTGCGAATGAGGGAGGGTGAGAAGGAGTAGGCTAGATGGATGGGTGAGGGAGTGGGGAGAAGGAGGATTCAAAGGATGATCATGATGATGCTGATGATGATGATAATGCTGATGCTGACGCTGATGATGATGATGATCATGATGCTGCTGATGCTGCTGCTGATGATTATGATGATGATTATGCTGATGATGATGCTGAGGATGATGATGATGATGATGATGATGATGATGATGATGATGCTGATGCTGATGCTGCTGCTGATGATGATGCGGCTGATGATGATGCTGATGATTCTGATTCTGATTCTGATGATGATGATGATGATGATGCTGACTATGATGATGCTGATGATGCTGCTGCTGATGATGATGATGATGACGATGATGCTGATGATGATGATGCTGATGATGATGATGATGCTGATGATGATGATGATGATGATGATGAGGATGAGGATGATGATGATGATGATGATGATATGATGATGATGATGATGATGATGATGATGATGATGATGATGATGATGATGATGATGATGCTGATGATGATGATGATGATGATGATGATGATGATGATGATGCTGATGATGATGCTGATGATGATGATGATGATGATGATGATGATGATGATGATGATGATGATGATGATGATGATGATGATGATGATGATGATGATGATGATGCTGACTATGATGATGCTGATGCTGCTGCTGCTGATGGTGATGAGGAGGAGGAGGAGGATGATTATAAGGAGTAGGAGGAGGAAGGAGGAGCAGGAGGAGGAGGGCTAGCAAAAGGGCTTGAGGTCTCTTAGATGCCTCTTGGAGCCTCATGGGGTATCTCTTGGGTGGCTCTTGGTGGCCTCTTGGGACGTCTTGGGGGTCTCTTGGCGGTCCTGGGAGGCTCTTGAGCGCCTTTGGGTGCCTCGGGGGGGCCTCTTGGGGCCGCTTGGGGTCCTCTTGAGGGCCTCCTGGGGGCCTCTTGGGGGCCTCTTGGGGCCATCTTGGGGCCATCTTAAGACCTCTTGGTGCCTCCTGGGCGCCTCTGGGGGCAATCTTGGATGATACTGATCAAAGAAGAGGGGAGCTCATTTTAGCGTCGCCCCCTCAAGAGGCCAAAATGAAGCCAAAACCATAGTACAACCAATGATGCTGGCTTCCTCGCCGAGGCCGTTTGGGGCGCTCTAACTACCCGCGACCAGCCCCGTCCAGGTCCAGGGGAGGGGGTAGGGGGGAGGGGTCAAGCTACCCACCCGCCCGCAAGCGGTCTAGTTCACTCCCACCCGCCCTCCCTACACGTAAGTAACACCCGAGCCCGCATGTTCAGCGGTCGTCTTTGGATGGACAGCTACTGGGAACCAAAGCCGACTCCAGGTGTGCGACGCTTGGGCGAGGTGCGCCACGCGTGCCAGGGGCGCCACGCGCGCCAGGCACCCCTGGGGCTCGAGCGTGCCAGGCACGCCTGTTGCGCCAGATGCGCCACGTGCTCCGAGTGCGCCAGGTGTGCCGCACACTCCAGCCGCGCCAGGTGCGCCGCGTTCGGGGCACGTGCAGAGTGCGTCAGGTGCGCCTGCGCACGTGACAGCACACATCGGGAAACATTTCGGCCCCTGCCATCCTTGTCGAAAACCGATGCACATCATTGTGTCTGGTGGGCCTGCGCACTGCAGGCCACGCGCCACCATCCCCGCCAGCTTGACAGGTGATCGCAGGATGGCCGCGCATGATCCAGATTTAGCCGCGAGGTGCATTTGTTTTGTTTTGTTTTGTTTTTTTGTTAGGGATGGTAGCCCTGCGCACAGCAGGGAATATGCTGAAAGTGCTCGCGGGCCTCACGAGCATGACTCAAGACTTTACCCACAACTATATATTGCATTGTCTTTTGACAGGGATGGTGTGGGGGGGCCGCATCGGGTTGTCCGCGCATTCTCCAAATGTGGACGCAGAATGCTGTTTGTATTGGTTTTGACAGGGATGGTGGGGGGCGTGTCGGCATGGTGTCGGCATAGTGTCGGCGTGGGGTCGGGTTGGCCCCCGGTCGCCCGGTGGAGGGGGAGTATATTTATAAGGAGTGATGAACCCCTCCCCGAAGGGGAAGAGGGAGGGGTGGAAGAGGAAACTCCCTAAACTACCTACTCCCAGAGGGCTGGTGGGATTCTCCTCCGATCCTTCCGACGATGTTTACGATGACGATGACGATGATGATGGTGATGGTGACTGTGATTGATGCTGATGATGATGATGCTGATGATGTTGCTGCTGATGATGATGATGCCGCTGCTGATGATGCTGATGATGCTGCTGCCGATGATGCTGATGATGATGCTGATGTTGCTGCTGATGATGATGAGGATGCTGATGATTGAGATGATGATGATGATGATGATGAAATTGCTGATCATGATGATGATGACGACCACGATGACGAAGATGATGCTGCTGCTGATGATGCTGATGATGATGTTGTTGATGATGATGATGATGATGATTCTGATGATGATGATAATGATGAGGATGATGATGATGATGATGATGATGATGATGATGATGATGATGATGATGATGATGATGATGATGATGATGATGATGATGATGATGATGATGATGATGATGATGATGATGATGATGATGATGATGATGATGATGATGATGATGATGATGATGATGATGATGATGATGATGATGATGATGATGATGATGATGATGATGATGATGATGATGATGATGATGATGATGATGATGATGATGATGATGATGATGATGATGATGATGATGATGATGATGATGATGATGATGATGATGATGATGATGAGAGGAGGAGGAGGAGGAGGAGGAGGAGGAGGAGGAGGAGGAGGAGGAGGAGGAGGAGGAGGAGGAGGAGGAGGAGGAGGAGGAGGAGGACGAGGAGGAGGAGGAGGAGGACGAGGAGTAGGAGGACTGATGTGTCCTCCTCTTCCTCCCGCATCGTCTCAAGCGTTCTGGGCGGACGTCGAGCCTCCCCCCTCTTCCCCGCCCCTCCATCCCCACCGCCTTCGACTCGACCCGATGGCTCCTCGTGCTATCTTGGTCCTCGCAGCGGTCCCCTTCGTCGCTTTCGCGGAGTCGGGGCGTCGTCCGGCCCCGCTGGCCAGCGGCCGACCGCGGTGAGGGCGATGCAGAAGGCGGGCTGGTGTCCCTGCTCGGGCCCCGCGTGGAGCTGTCTGTTCCCGAGCTCGAGGGCTGCCGTGCCGTAGCTCAAGAGCGGGCACGCGCCCGTGAAGGTGATGGGCTCGAGCGTGAGCCCAACACATGTTGACTGTGTGGAGCTTTTGGGGTCAGAGCACCAGGGCTCGTTTGAACACGTGTGAGCGCACGAGCTATCTGATCATTGCTCAGGCCCTGGCCGCTCGAGGGAGCCGCGGGCGCCGGCAACGGTAGTCCTGATCGCTCCAGGGAGCCGCGGGCGGCAGCTGCGACAGACCTAGCCGATGCGACAAACATACTCGTACTCCGTAGCCAAGAAGGTGATAGTTTTTTATTCATTGTTTTGCCGATCGGCGCGGGTCCTCGCACCCCCTCCTCCTCCTCCCCCCATGGGGTAGATCTTGGCTGTTATTGGCATCTGGTTCGAGCAGTTGGAGTCTCCCCTCATGGGACGCACTGTCGCAAACAGCCGCGCTAAGCAGAGGTTTGGAGTTAGACCCCCCCCCTCCCCCCCCCCTGTCCGCCCAATGTCGAAACGCAGAATAAAAAGCGCTCACAAGTCTTCGCCTCCTGTTCGTCCCCCCTTCGCCTCTCCCTCTCCTCCGCCGCCGGCAGGGGGGTTGGCCAGCCCCGTGGGCCCTGGCTGCTGCACTTTCTGGACCAGGGTGTTCCGGACCAGCTCTAGAGCTGGGCGGCCGCTTCCCGCCGTGCCGGCTGGGACGGTCGGGGAAGGCGGTCTGTCACGGGGCTTCCTTTGGGGGCCTCCTGGAGGCTTGGGGGGCGGCATCGTGGGATCCGTTTCAGGGCTTCCAGGTTTTTTGGGAGGGGCCTGTGGAGCTCCTGCTCCTCCTGCTCCTCCTGCTCCTCCTGCTCCTCCTGCTCCTCTTGCTCCTCCTGCTCCTCCTGCTCCTCCTCCCCGTATCTTGGAGGCCCTTTGCGGGCGTCTTTGGGTCTGAGGGCTCCTGGGGCAACTGCGAGTCCCCCAGACGGCGACAGCGGCGGCGGCGCCCCATCCGCGGGCGCACGCAGGCGTCGGCTGCCGGCGGCGGCCTCCGCGTGCAGCACGTGGTGGCGGCGATGGAGCTCAGCAGGGCGGCCCGCGACAGCGCTGTCAGCAGGCGGCCTCGGCGGCGGCGGCGGCGCCGCCGCCGACGTCGTCGTCGTCACCACAGGTGGTGCGCAGCGGGTGGTCCCTCACCGCGGTGTCGATCTGTCCCAGGGTCGCGGGGCGTGGCAGAAGGGGTGGCCCCTGCGCTCGTCAAATTCTTGCGCGCGCGAAATTAATTTTTTCCCACCAGCACCTTAGTCATCATCATTGCCATCATCATCATTGCTACCGTCATTGCCGCGGCTTGACAGGCGTCACCAACTGTATCGGCGGGGCAACGGCCACCAGCATCATTTTTTCATGTTTCATTTCAGCTACCAACGCGCCAGGCATATTATAAGTATGTGGGGTTCCTCGGTAGCGTAATTGTTGTTGTTGCTGTCGTCGTCGTCATTGTGATTATTGTTAATATTGTTGGTGTTGTTGTCGTTGTCGTCGTCGTCGTTGTTGCTGATGTTGTTGTTGATGTTGTTGTTGTAGATGTTGCTGTTGTGGTTGTTGTTGTGATTGTTGCTGCTGTTTTTGTTGTTGTTGTGGTTGTGATTCTCGTCGTCGTCGTCGTCGTCGTTGTTGTTGTTGTTGTTGTTGTTGTTGTTGCTGTTGCTGCTGCTGCTGCTGCTGCTGCTGTTGTTGTTGTTGTTGTTGTTGTTGTTGGTGGTGGTGGTTGTTGTTGCTGTTGTGGTTGTTGTTGTTGTTGTTGTTGTTGTGGTTGTTGTTGTTGTTGTTGTTGTTGTTGTTGTTGTTGTTGTTGTTGTTGTTGTTGTTGTTGTTTTGTTTTTATTGTTGTTGTTGTTGTTGTTGTTGTTGTTGTTGTTGTTGTTGTTGTTGTTGTTGTTGTTGTTGTTGTTGTTGTTGTGGTGGTGGTGGTGGTGGTGGTGGTGGTGGTTGTTGTTGTCGTCGTTGTTGTTGTTGTCGTGGTTGCTGATTTTGTTTGTTGTCGCTGTTTGAAGAAAGCGCAGCTCTAAATTCACAGTGGCCTCTATCTGTCCCAGGGTCGCGGGGCGTGGCAGGCGTGGCACTTTCTTTCGGGGAGTGCGCAGGGTGTGGTCCTTCTCCGCTGTTTGTATCCGTCCCAGGGTCGCGGGACCTGGTAGGCGTTGCACTTTCGACGCGCCACGGGGGGTGCGTATGGGGGTGGTCCTTCACCGCGGTGTCTATCCGTCCCAGGGTTGCGTGGCGTGGCAGGCGTGATACTCTTTTCCACACCACAAGCGTGCGCAGTGTGCGGCCTCCCCACCGCGGTTTCTACCAGTCCCAGCGTCGACAGGGGCGTGGCGTGGCAGGCGTGGCACTTTCTCCACGCCACGGGGGGATGCGCATTGGGTGGTCCCTCTCCGTGGTCCCTATCCGTCCCAGGGTCGCGGGGTGCGGCAGGCGTGGAACTTTCTCCACGTCGCAGGGGGTGCGTAGGGTGTGTTTCCCCACCGCGGGGCGTGGCAGGCGCGGCACTTTCTCCACACTACACGGGGTGCGTAGGGTGTGGTCCCCCTCCGTCGTCTCTATCCGTCCCAAGGTCGCGGGGCGCGGCAGGCGCGGCATTTTCTCCACATCGCAGGTGGTGCGGATCAGGTGGACCCTCACCGCGGTCTCTATCCGTCCCAGGGTCGCGGGGCGTGGCGGGCGCGGCATTTTCTCCACACCACAGGGTGTGCGCAGCGGGTGGTCCCTCACCGCGGTGTCGATTTGTCCAAGGGTTGCGGGGCGTGGCAGGCGTGGCACTTTCTCCACACCACAGGGGGTGCGCAGGGGGTGGTCCCTCACCGCGGTCTCTATCCGTCCCAGGGTCGCGGGGCGTGGCAAGTGTGGCACTTTCTCCACACCGCACGGGGTGCGCAGGGGGTGGCCCCCCCTCAGTCGTCTTTATCGGTCCTAGAGTCGTGGGGCGTGGCGGGCGCAGTACTTTCTCCACACCACAGGTGGTGCGCAGCAGGTGGTCCCCCACAGCGGTGTCGATATGTCCCGCGGGGCGTGGAAGGCGTGGAAGGCGTGGCACTTTCTCCACACCGCAAGGGGTGCGCAGGGGGTGGTCCCTCACCGCGGTCTGTATCCGTCCCAGGGTCGCGGGGTGCGGCAGGCGTGGCACTTTCTCCACACCACAGGGGGTGCGCAGGAGGTGGCCCCTGGCGCTCGTCAAATTCTTGCGCGCGCGAAAGTCATCCTTTTCCCCAGCGCCATAGTCATCATCATTGCCACCGTCATTGCCGCGGCTTGACAGGCGTCACCAACTGTATCGGCGGGGCAAGGGCCACCAGCACTATTTTTGCATGTTTCATGTCAACTACCAACGCGCCATACATATTATAAGTATGTGGGGATCCTCGGTAGCGTAACTGTTGTTGTTGTTGTTGTTGTTGTTGTTGTTGTTGTTGTTGTTGTTGTTGTTGTTGTTGTTGTCGTCGCTGTTGTTGTCGTCGTGGTTGTCGAACTTTCATTTCCGAAGAATAATGTTTGCCATGGCGCGTACTTTTTTTTCTAAATCAAAGTGTGCCCCTCGACGCTCGTACCTTGTTTTGTATCAGGGAAAGTCTTGAGGTTCAAACTGGGCCCGTGGCCCCCGGGTTACAACAATCGCATTTTATTCAGGAGTCGCGCTCTCGCTTGGGACCTCCTTGACATTTATTCAGGAATCGCTCTTCCGGCGCTTTGGAGTCGCGCTCTCGTTGGAGACTTGCTTGCGATTTACTGAAGAATAGCGCCCTTGCGTTGGAATTTCTTGCAATTTACCGAAGCGCCGCGCTCCCGACACCCAGGCACCCAAGAGTCGCGCTCACGCTTAGGACTCCCTCACAGATTACCTAGGAATCGGGATCTCGCTGCCCTTCGTGGCCCCGTTGCAGCCCTTGGTGGCCACCTCGCTTTGTTTCGTGGCCCCGTTGCAGCCCTTCGTGGCCCCCTCGCTGCCCTTCGTGGCCCCGTTGCAGCCCCTCGTGGCCTCCTCGCTGCCCTTCGTGGCCCCGTTGCAGCCCTTCGTGGCCCCCTCGCTTTGTTTCGTGGCCCCGTTGCAGCCCTTCGTGGCCCCCTCGCTGCCCTTCGCGGCCCCGTCGCAGCCCTTCGCGCCTGTGGTGGCCCCATATGCATGCCCTTCGTGGCCCCGCTGTCGCCCTACGTGGCCCCATCGCTGCCCTTCGTGGCCCCGTTGCTGCCATCAGTGGCCCCGTCTTTGCCCTCCGCGGCCCAGTATACGTATGCCCTTCGTGGCCCCCGCTCGTTCGCGCCCGTTGTGGCCCCATGTGCATGCCCTTCGTGGCCTCGCTGTCGCTGTTTGTGCCCCCTCACTGTCCTACGTGGCCCAGTTGCTACCATCATCGGTCCCATCATTACTTTCCGTGGTCCCGCATTTTCTGTCCTTCGTGGCCCCCGCTCGTTCGCGCTTTTCGTGGCCCCGTACGCATTCCCTTCGTGTCCCCGCTGTCGCCCTTCGTGGCCTACTTCGTGTCCTTGTGGCCCTGCTGTCGTTCTCTCTCGCTCTCGCTTTCGCTCGTCGTCGTCGTCGCCGTCGTCGTCGACGTCGTCGTGGTCGGTCCCCTGTCAGTCCCTCTCGGGGTCGGGTCGACGGTCTGCGGCCGCCCCGCCGATCAGCGCTGCCGCTGGCCAGGCCGACGGTCCGCGGCCGCCCCGCCGCTTGCTGGGGCCCGGCCTGCAGGGAAGAAAAGGTATACCCCCCAAAAGGGGTTCGATCGAAGACGAAGAGGGCGGGTATCGAAGGTTTTTGGAAATACGCGCTATTTGACACTCGAGCAGATAAGGGCTACCAGTCTTGAAATGATTGTGGTTGTTGTTTTCGTCGTCGTCGTTGTTGTCGTTGTTGGAAGAAAGCGCCTTTCTAAGTTATCACACCAGAGAGAAGCCCCAATCAGTGGATGGTTCGAAAAATCGCAACCACCATGTTCGGCCGCAGTTTCGCAAGAGGGCCCTGAGAGGCTAGCTCATTGATTGCCCTTGCTTATTGGAAGGGTTGTGGTATCCCCGCCATTCCGTGCATCCGCCGGCTCAAACGACATCGTGTCGTATGTAACATATGTGTTAATATGTATATGTGCATTATATATGTGTACGTATGTATGTGTATATATTTACACATAGACATACTATATATACATATTATACATCGAGAGCATATCAACACATACATATACACATGCACATACATGTATGTATGTATGTATGTATATATATATGTGCATATATATATATATGTATATATATATATATATATATATATATATATATATCCATAGAGGGATATATTGCGTAACGTGGGGAAGCAGTCACACTTAACGGTCATATAATGTATAGCGTAGTGGGGGGACAACGAAATAGTGATACAGGTCGAGCGAAATACCAAGAGACAAGAGAGAGAGAGAGAGAGAACAGTAGGGGGAGAGGGAGAGAGAGAGAAACAAAAAGAGAGAACGAGAGAAAGAGAGAGAGAGAGAGAGAGACAGAGAGAGACAGCGAGAGACAGAGACAGAAAAGGGAAAACTGATCTTTTCATAAGGGACATAGAGAGGGACAAATAATATTCGGATCTCACGTCACGGAGAAAATGACATCAACCATGACGATTCAGGTTTGGCGTATCAAAGAGGGAAACTTACAAATAACTATCAAGAGAGCAACATAGAGAGAGAGAGAGAGAGAAACAGACAAATGTGAGGGATAGAGAGAGGATGCTGATACAGAGAGGGAGAGAGAGATACACACATAAAGAAGTAGAGAGATAACAACAACAGAGAGAGAGAGAGAGAGAACGAGAAAGAGAGAGATAGAGAGAGAGAGAGAGAGACATAGAAAACGCGCGAACGAGAGCGAGAAAGAGGGAAATCCATATATATATATCGATATCTATATATATATATCGCTGTATCTATATCTATATCTATATGTATAAGTATATATATACCTATATCTAAATCGGTATCTAGATCTATATATGTATATATAGCTATACATATATATATATATCAATATATCTATATGCACATATATATGTATGTATATATATACACAGAGAGAGATATAAAGAGGGAGAGAGAGAGAGAGAGAGAGAGAGATAGAGAACGATCGATTGCATAACACGGAGAGAACACACCAACATCATAACCGTATAGCCAAAAAGAGAGGGCGGGGGCGCCCACCGACAGCCGCCCATTGAAATCGGCTGGCTACTTTCGTCGCAGTTTTTCCCAACCATCCTGTGGTGTTGGGCCCTCGTTTAAGAGGGACAGCGCCCTGCGTCCCTTCTGTCCTGTCCTCTCCTCTCCTGTCCTCTCCTCTCCTGTCCTCTCCTCTCCTCTCCTCTCCTTCCCTCTCCTCTCCTCTCCTCTCCTCTCTTCTCCTCTCCTCACCTCTCCTCTCCTCTCCTCTCCTCTCCTCTCCTCTCCTCTCCTCTCCTCTCCTCTCCTCTCCTCTCCTCTCCTCTCCTCTCCTCTCCTCTCCTCTCCTCCTCCCCCCCTTCCCTCCTCCCCTCCGCCTGGTCACCTCCCTGCGTTTCACCCACTGAGGACAGCGCTTCGTGGCCCCATAGGGAGCTCCACCGAAGGCTCCCATGGCCGGGTCCGCATGCGTCAGCGCCACCCAAGACAGCGTTTCGTGGCCCCATAAGGAGCTCCACCGAAGGCTCCAGTGGTAGGGTCCGCATGCGTCAACGCCACCCGGGACAAGCGTTTCGTGGCCCCATAAAGGAGCTCCACCGAAGGCTCCAGAGGCAGGGTCCGCATGCGTCAACGCCACCCAAAGCAGCGTTTCGTGGCCCCATAAGGGAGCTCCACCGAAGGCCCCAGTAGCAGGGTCCGCCTGCGTCAACGCCACCCGGGACAGCGTTTCGTGGCCCCACAGGGAGCTCCACCGAAGGCTCCAGTAGCAGGGTCCGCCTGCGTCAACGCCACCCAAGACAGCGTTTCGTGGCCCCACGGGGAGCTCCACCGAAGGCTCCAGTGGGACAGGCCGCGTGCGTCAACGCCACCCGGGACAGCGCTTCGTGGCCCCACAGGGAGCTCCACCGAAGGCTCCAGTGGGACAGGCCGCGTGCGTCAACGCCACCCGGGACAGCGCTTCGTGGCCCCACAGGGAGCTCCACCAAAAGCGGTACCCACAATGCGGTATTCGCAGCTTCATATGGTTGGGTCCTTCGCCCGGCTCATTTTGAAAAGGGCGCCCACCGAGAGCCGCCCACCGACATCGGCCGGCTATTTTCGCCAATTTATTTCATGTCCGCTAGGACCCCTTCAGTGTAAACACTGGCTGGGGAATAGATCCTGTTGACCCCCCCTCCAGTAACCATTGCATTTTTGAATTAAATGGCTTCCCCCAGGACTCGCTCTTTCTATAAAAAAAGGAGGCGAGCTATCACCAAATTGTGGCCCTGTCCCCTGGTTTACAACATTGACGGCTCACGCCTGATATTTCCACACAATTTCGGACGCCGCGCCCTCGACATTCAAGAATCACGCTCTCGCTATGGACGCCCTCGCGATGTATTATGGAATCGCGCTATCGCTCGATACTTCCTCGCGATTCATGCAGGACGCACGCTTCAGCAACCCGTCCTCCCCCTGTGCCTTCCTTCCATCCGTCCTCTCTTCCCCTGCCATAGGGGCTGCACGAAATACACGTTGCAAGCGAGACAGATATACCCATAAGTGGGTGCTATCGAAGACACAGAGTCCGGGTATCGAGGGTTTGGGATATACGTGTTGCATGGTACGCGAGCAGATAACAGCGAACAGTCTTAAAATGATTGTTGTGGTTGCTGCTGCTGCTACTGTCAGACGCCATGAGGGTCGCCTTCGTCGACTGAAGCGTGAATGCGGTGGAGTCCTGTGGTCGTCGCGCTCTTGTCGTCTTGCGGCCATGTTGCCAAGCAGGGCAGCAGAAGCTGCCGCCCTCCCCTCCCCGCGCCCAGAGGTGCTCGGCGGCCGTCGACAGGGCCTCGGAGCTGGAGGGCAGGACGCGCGACACGACGACGACTCGTCGTCGTCCTCCCTTCTGTTTTGACGTTGGGCGAACTTGGATCATCTGGGGTCGTAGCGTTCTACCCTCCCTGCTTCTGCTCCTTCTCCTCATCTTTGTCCTCGATGCTCCTCGTGCTTCTCATGCTCCCCCTCCTTTCCGCTCTCCCTCCCTCCCTTCCTCCCTCTTCCCTCACCTTCCCCTCGTCTTAATTCCCCCTCCGCCGCCGCCTCCTCCATTCCTTTTCCTTATCAGTAACTCCTCCTTGTCGCACCCTGAGGCCAGTCGTAAGGGCGGGCCGGGCGTTTCGCCTAGGTTTTTTAAACAACCATTTATGATTCTGAAGCTTACTAGCCTGCCGCTCTGCGGTTGACCGGTAGTTTCTGTATAAAGAAGAAGGGGCGTGTGCTTGTGGGCGAGAGGAGAATGAACGGGAGGCGGTGCCATCCAGCCCCTCCCGCTCCCATGCTGGCAACATGCACCTTCCCTCCACATCCAGGAAATTCCGTGAGGTCCTTGGAGGTCGTTCTTCCGCTTCTTTTCTCCAAATAGGCTTGCCCTATAGGAGTCATAGCTCATTCTAAGTAATTGGTCTTTGGGACCCCCCCTCCTTTTTCCAATGCCCCCCCCCTTATTTCCAATGGCACCCCCCTCCCCCCCTTTTTCCAATTGCACCCACCCTTATTTCCAATGGCACCCCCCAGCGTGCTTGCTCTTGCTTGCTTGCTCTTGCGTGCTTGCTTTCGCTTGCTTGCTCTTGCTTGCCCTTGCTTGCTTGCACTTGATCGCTGGCTCTTGCTTGCTTGTTATTGCTCGCTTGCGCTTGCTCGCTTCCGCTTGCTTGATTTTGCTCTTCCCGTCCTCATCCCGTCCTGCTCCCGTCCTCCTTTTGTCTTCTTCCCATCCTCCTCTCGTCCTCCTCCTGTCCTCCTATCTATTTGGAGTCAACGCTGGCTGATATTTCTCTTCCACTTCTTCCAACTCTTTAAAATGCCAACCGTTTCGCAGATGAAGGGCGGTTCCGTCCCAAAATGTGGCTCTCGCCATAGCGCGGCGCACACTCGTCGTACATATTTGCCAGAGCTTCACGATTGAGGGTGGGCTGTGTTCAAAATGTGGCTCTCCCCTTAGCACCGCGCGCATTCGTTTTAA